CCCAATTAAACAAGTGTGGAAGGAGGAGTGGCATCCACTTCCATAATAGCTTGCCTCCGGAAACCCTATGAACCTGGAGAGAGGATGAAAGGTACCCAAGTGTTGAGGACTCTCCTTCATAGGGTCGCTATGAGTTGCCTGTGACTCAACGGCACTTAACAACAACAACAACCATATTAGCAGGAACCAATGGTAATGAATGAGGAAGTGGAAGCTTCATTGAATGCATTGGCTTAAAATAAGGCCCCAGGAATTGATGGGATATCAATTGACTTGTTTCAATCAACAGATGCAGGCTTGGATGCACTCACCAGTCAATGCCAGGAAATTTGGAGGATAGGTGTCTGGTCAACAGATTGGAAGAGGTCCATATTTGTTCCCATTCCCAAGAAGGGTGATCCAACAGAATGTGGAAACTATGAAACAATATCATTAATAATGCACCCACACAAAACAACAGAGAAGATCATTTAAAAATGGCTTGAACAGTACGTAGATAGGGAGTTCCCAGAAGTTCAAGTAGAATTTAGAAGAGGCTGTGGTGGTAGGGATATCTCTGTTGATGTCAGATGGATCCTGGCTGAAAGTAAAGAAAACCAGAACAATGTCTATTTATGCTTTATTGACTACACAAAGGCATTTGACTATGTGCATCATAACAAATTGTGGCTGACATTGAGAAGAAGGGGAGCACTTAATTGTGCTCATGTGAAACTTACACATGAGGCTGTTGTGTGAACAGAGCAGGGGAACACTGCATGGTTAAAAATTAAGAAGGGTGTGTGTCAGTGTTGTATTCTCTCTTCATACATGAGCATACAATCTGTATGCTCAGCAAATTATTTGAGAATCTGGTCTCTTAAGAAGGGTGACATCAGGATTAGAGGGAGACTCAGCAGTTACCTATGTTATGCGGATGACACAGCCTTGCTTGCTTATAGCAGGGAGGACATGAGCACTTGTTACAAAGATCAAAGAATGCAGCTTTCAATATGGATTGCATCTCAATATCAAGAAAACAAAGATTCTTACCACTGGACCGATAAACAACATCATGATAGAGGGAGAAGAGATTGAAACTGTCAACAGCTTCATCTTACTTGGATCCACAGTTAACACTGTTGGTACCAGCAGTCAGGAAATATGGAGACACTTTGCACTGAGAAAGACTGTAGTTAGGGACCTCTTCAAACTATTGAGGAGTAATGATGTCAGTTTCAGGACTAAGGTATGCCTGATTCAGGCCATGGACTTTCCAATCTCTTGCTATACATCTGAGAGCTGGACAATGAATAGGGATAACAGAAGAAGAATTCATGCCTTTGAACTGTGGTGTTGAAGAAGAACATTGAACATCCTGTGGACTGCCAGAAGAACAAATAAATATGTCTTGGAGAGGGTGCAGCAAGAGTGCTCTCTGGAGGCAAGGATGATGAAGCTTCACCTCACATACTTTGGGCATGTTGCTAGGAGGGGCTGTTCCTTGGAGAGGAATATGATGCTTGGAAAGGAAGAAGGTGAAGACCAGGTGGATTGACATGGGGACTGCTGCAGTGGGCTCTAATGTGTCAGGAAGTGACATAATGGCATAGGATAGGACAAAGTTTAGATTTGTTCTGAATAGGATGTCTGTGAGTCATATTCAACTTGATGACACCTAACAAACAACACCACAAGCTATATACACATGAAAAATTAGATCATATGTCCACAGAAATGCTTGTATTCAATACTCATAGTCGCTTTATTTATGTTAGTCCAAACTGGAAACAACCCAGTTTCTTTACTACTGAACAAATAAAGAGATTGTAATATAGAATACTTCTGTAAGCCATAAGAGGCAAGCTCTGGCAGCATAGTTCATAGTGAGTTGCACTGCTAACTCAGAGGCTGCACTTCTCTGTTGGCTTCACTATTCCAGCAGCTGCTTGAGCGAAAGATGGGCCATCTCTGCCTATTACAATTTGTAGCTTGGGAAATCCAACAAAGGGTGGCTGTCAGCCAGAACAGACACAAGGGCAGAGGTTTGGGATTATAAGCTAGAAGGAACACTACCGATACATGCAGTTTTGTAGATGATTCTCAAATGTTATCATGCTTGTGAGAGGAAAAGGGGAAAAAAACAACTGTACACAGACTGCATGATTTTATTTTTGTGAAATTCTAGAAGAGGCCAAACCAGAGGTATAGAAAGCAGATCAGTTGTTAATGGAGTAGAGTTGAGCAAAGAACTCTCTGGGCTGATGGGAATATTCTTTATCTTGATAGTAGTGGTACTTAATGTGACAATATACATTTTCAGAAGGTACAGAACTGTACAATCAAATGAGTGAATTTCTCATTAGTAAGTAATGGTGATTATTTAAACAAAGAAAATTATATACATGTCACTAAAAGAAAAACTTGGACCTGTAGAACTATAATATGCATTATTTTTGCTGAAGATAACTTAGTACTATTAATAAAAGCACTGTAACGGTCACGTTGAAGGATATGTTAAGTCATTGGGAAGAGAGGACAATAAATTTTAGGGGAGGATATATATCCATTTATGCAGACAGGGAGAAAAAGCCATTTTCCTATCTGTTGATGAACCTTACTGACCTGGAGACACATTCATTAGCTTT